CACACACACACACACACACACACACACACACACACAGAGAAGGATGAGAATATAGGGAGGATGAAAAAAATCACCATTACCACCTGAAGCTTTTCCATTCTTGTTTTAATAGCATTGATGATTTGTACCATTTGGAAATAGAGCTCTGGCTTATATATTATAAAACAGGAGCTGGGCATGGTGGTGCCTACCCACAATGCCAGCTACTCTGAAGGATGAGGTGGGAGGACTGTTGGAGAGCAGTTCGAGACCAGTCTGGGCAAGATAGTGAGACAAAAAAAAAAAAAAAAAAAAAAAAAAAAGACAAAGGAGTAGATGAAACCAAAGTATGACAAACTAAATTAAAAATTAGTGGGAACACTGTGGCATTTATTGAGGCGTTAGAATTTTACAACTAATAGAGGCATTTATTATAATTTATTCTGATTGTTTCTTAGTTTATTTTTGGCATGGATAAAATTATTGTTTATCCAGGAGCCTCAGAGTTGAGAGAGGATAGTTGTAGAGAAGTATTTCTAAAAGGGAATTATCATCCACTACGAGCTAAGAGAAAATGGTTACTTGTTTAAAGATACCTTAAAGCAACATATATTCCAGTTTCAAGAGAAAGGCCGACAGTCAAGAAATGGGCTTTTAACAAACACACTGGTTTGCTGGATTCTAATTGCCTCCTTCAAACTATGTAATTGTGTCTTTGTGGTCTCTGTGGCTATCTTCCCACTTTTTAAATTTTACACTGGAATAAAAAAATTATCACTGTTGATCTGATTACAGAAACTATTTTATATAGGACTGTGAAAAGTAGATATTCTCTGAGCCCTTCTAATGAACACACACACACTTGTGAAGTTTGAGAAGAACATTATTACCTGTAACCTTTGATTTGTGAAAATCAAATATATACAAAAGCTAATTTTGTAATTTAGATGGAGAGTGGGTATACAACTTATATGTGGTAATTTATATTACAAAGAGTTAACATTCAGCTTCCTCTAAATAATACCACCTTCATTTTCTTGGAGTCCCTCAAAGGACTCCTTCCGATGACCCAGAAGCTTTATAAGGTCTGCCCTTGAACAGCTCATGCATTAATAGGTGTCTAGGGCTGAGGCTCAGCCTCCAATCACACTCCATCTATATGAGCTTTCCTGTTCAGAGATATGGAGTGGCTAAATCAAAGTGTCTAAGTGATTCATCAGGAGACAAACATATTAGTCAATGCTACTATGTTAAAACACCAATATTCTCTTCAAGTGTGGGAACTCTCTTAAACAGGAAAAGAAGATAGTCAGAAGAGCTACAAGCATAACAGGGTGACTCTGCAGGAGCATGTCACCCACCACATGGTGAGCCACTCTACCTATTAACTGAGGTAGGGAGGTAAATGCAGAAGTCTTTGGGCAATCTTGGGAGGGCTGCCTTTGCCCTTATAAGACTGACATATTTGAAAAGTTAGACAAGGGAACTATAAAGGAATACAAAAGGAAGACCTTTTTTTTTTGACACAAGGTCTTGCTCTGTTGCCCAAGCTGAAGTGCAGTGGGGCAAACATGGCTCACTGCATCCTTGAACTCCTGGGCCCAAGTGATCCTCCCATCTCAGCCTCCAAAGTAGCTGGGACTACTGGCATGTGCCATCACGTCTGGCTAGTTTTTTATAGAGAAGGGGTCTTGGTATGTTGCCTGGGCTGGTCTTGAACTCCTGGTATTGAGCAATCTTTCTGCCTTGACGTCCCAAAATGCTGATTTACAGGCGTGGGCCTCCATGTCTGGAAGGCTCTTTCTTTCTTTCTTTCTTTTTTTTTTGAGGAGTTTCACTCGTTACCCAGGCTGGAGTGCAATGGCGCGATCTCGGCTCACCGCAACCTCCGCCTCCTGGGTTCA